ATTAGCTATTATACTGAGTTACAAGTTTTGCTGATAAATTTTGTAACAGACATGACATGAGCTCATTTGAACAGTAAACCCAGGCTGTATGTCTGCATTATAGCCAATGCTGATAACTTTGAGGACATGTTCATTTTAAATGAAAACAGTAACCTTAAACAGGCTTTCATTCATCAAAGATCATTTTGTATCATGTTAAATAACTTTGTCTCTTAGAAGTTTTTGCATATTCATTAAAGACTGCATTCCATTATGAGAGATTTTGAATCCTCTTCTGAAACAGGTTTTCAGAATGGCCATTACAATTCCAAATTATCTCAGAAGTTTACTTATTTTCACTTGTTCAATTTTAGATCAGGAATTTTGGGGGAGTTGAAGCAAAGCTCACCTTGCTGGGAAGCTCAGCAGGAGAGTAGACAAAAGAGGCAGATTTGGGTTGGCTGCTGGCATGTTTAATTATTTAATTATTTTCTCTTAAAGAGGCAGTAAAGCATTTCTAATTTTATTTAGAAGCCTCAAAAGATTAAAACAGGCTCCCAGTTTTTGCGCTGGCTTTTCCAATTGCATACATCAGTTTGGGTGAACTGAAATTCGCCTGTTTAAATATATCAATTTTTACAAAACTTTATCTTAGTTTTACTAATGCTTATACTTTTAATTATACTTTACATTAGAATTTTATTAATAAGTTTTGGTATTACAATATTGTTCAGCGGAAGCATTCCCAGTTAGACATAACATTTATTCCCAAAGAAAACATCCAGGCAATGTTGACATAACCTCTTCATATATTATTAGCTTAAATACTTTAATCTTTATAGTCTTATTAATCTTAGTAGCCTAACTGTGGCCCCAAACAATTGTTGGTCAGGTTTCTCACTCTGATTTTTGCCTCCTGACCTTTTAAATTTTTCCAACTGGGGTAAATAGAACAGATTTGTCTGATGTCCTTTAATGTTGGGGAGCAAATGGGGGGGGTCCCTTTAGCCCATCCAACCTTAAGCAGTGTTTTGTTACAACCTTTGTTTTAACTTCATTTATATCTGTTCCATTTATCCCATTGGGATGAGTCCTGTGACTCTTCCCTTTCTGATTTCTCTTTGTTAACTTAACATTTTTATTAGCATCTGTAAGACTACGAGAAGCTGAGACCCCAAGTTTGATTAAGTTCTTAAGACTAGTCATTATAGTTTCCTCTTAATTTGGTCTTTCCATAGGTACCAATAAAATAGTTGTTTACCATAAGAGCTCTCTAAAAAGTTTCCCAACTTGAGGATCCATCGTTTGGCCATTTTTGTCTCTCCAGAGTCTAAAGAATATTGTGGCCACGTGGTGTTACAAAAGAAAAGCATCCCTCTTTAGACATTGCCTTATAGCTATAGGTTGACCATCAGCCAAAGTTTTTCCCAAGGGGCTCTTAGATGGAATAAATGCAGCACCTCCCATGTTAACACTTTTAAAAGGACAGATAAACAGACAGACAACAACAAATACCAAACAAGTGCGCATTCCCAAAAATCCTCGGCCACAAACAGAAGCCAAAACAAAGACCAAAACCGAAAACCAAAGTGCTTCTAGTCCCAGCTCAGTCCGTGTCCAACACTCGGTGGCGCCCAACAAATGAAGATCCACCATGCAGATCTTCCCAAATGAGCAAGGACAAGAGACCTTGGTTGTGCACACTGGGGGACTTACCAAAGTTTGGCCAGGGCATCGCGGTGACTTCAAAACAAATGGAGCCCAGAGGGCTGCCAAGGTACCCATTATTTTCAGCCTTTCCTGTTGGAAAAGGTTAACACAAAGACAAAAACAAAAACTACCAGCTACTTACAAGAGACGTCTTCCGAAGTCCTAAACCTAGTTTCTTCCACCACCAAAGCAAAAGTGCTGTGGGCCAACGACGTCTGGTTAGCAGCCAGTCGCTTGGGGCTGTCCCTGAGACAAGGGGCTCAGGCACCTGCAGGACAGTTTCCAAGAGAGGCCTTTAGCCAGAGGCCAGTGTGCCACAGGTGAGACGTCCACCCAGGACATTGTCCCGTCTGCGTCGCCAAATTGTTACCGAACCTGAAGTGAGTTTGCTCACCCGTTGCACAGCAAGCCAACCTCTGACACTGGGTGTGGTGGAAGAAAGTAGGAATTTTATTTTTGCACAGCACTGAGCAAGGAGAGAGGGCAGCTAACGCTGAAATCCCAAATTTCCCAAAAAGCTAAAAGGAAGGATTTTTATTTGGGGTTTTAGGTAGAGGAGGGGGAGCATATGGCCTTGCTGGTTGGAGCTTTCCCACCAGCCTGTCTTTGGTCTTGAGACACTCGCAGAGAGGAGGGAGCCCGTGACCTTGCTGGTCAGCAGCTTTCCCACCAACCTGTATCTCTTTGTGGGGAGGAGATGATCCAGGTGCTTGTCCTTGATGGTGTCTTTCTCCATGGAGGAGAGTGGATTCTGGAGCCAGGAAGCCAGAGAGTAAGCAGGGAATGAGCGTTTTGGTTTTAACCTCATATATGCTGGGTTTAATGTGGGGAAACTGATATCAGGGTCGATATCACTATGCCGAATTTATAAATTAAACTTTATCATGGATATGTATGTATAGAAAAAAATGTAGTCTATAGGGTTCTGTGCTGTCCAGGGTTTCAGGATGGGGGTCTTGGAATGTACCACTGGGGGTCTTGGAACGTACACCCTCGGATAAGGGGAGGACTACTGTATTTGACTGATCCAGCCCTAATTAACTCAACCAACATAAAATAACAATGCAGCTTTTCCTACAATTAGAAATATTGCAAAAAGTACAGCTTCTTGTAAAAATTTACAAGTAAAATAATGTGACTCTAACAAGCTAGCTTTAAAATATAATACAAAATCTGAATTTACCAGTAAAGCAGCGAACAATGGCTTATTCAATAAAGAGTATTGGGACAACTGGCTAGCCATTTGAAAAAACATGGCTGGATTCCCATTTCATTCCTTACAGCAAAATAAATTCCAGATTTAAGCATTAATACTGAAGCCAACATAATCCCAGAAAATAAAAAGGATTCTCTCAAAGTAATCTCAAAGAAAAATATAAAACCCAGTAAATATGAAGAATTGATTGATAAATTTGACTATAGTCAAATTTAACTTGTTTTTTCTTTTTACAAAAAGCATATTCAAAAGAGAATAACTTGGAGCAGTTGCCTTTTGTCTCCATATGGACGTGTATACTTAAAACATGTGACTCTTTCTCTGATTTGTCTTTTAAAACCAAGTTTAATCAGATTGTCTTGGTTCATGCTTCCATGTTTCATTGGCTCCACTAGATGGCCTTTCTTCTTTCTATCCCTGGCTGGTACATTGTTCACCTCTCTCTTCATCTATTCCTAGAGTGCATCAAAGGGATGACCACAAAGTGACAGGAGCACACAAGTGGAACACCTAACATTTCACAAGGAAATGCCTTTCCAAAGATTTGATGTTTAATCTTCATTGAGAGAAAAAAATTGGAGTTTTCTAGGGCAAGGGGGTGAGGGAAGGTGGTAAATAGCATTTGGGGGATGGGAATTGCATGTACAGATGTACAGAGACAAGACACAGTCAAGTATATTCAAAACAGAAAATAGCCAGAGGATGCAAAGTGTGCAAAGCATAATGGAAAATGATATCAAAAAGGTCATTTGACACAGCGTACAAAGAGTGGCATTCAGAAGTTATTGGGAAGATATATAGGGGATATCTGATTAGATATGTGTTTACAAGAGACAGGATTACCCCAAACGCTGAGAATAGACTGAGGAGAAGACAAACTGGGGACAAAGACACTGGTGAAGGGCAAGTACCAAAGGGAGCATTACAATACACATATTTTAAATATTCAAAGTTCAATTTTGAGCAAGAGCTGCAGCAGTTTCAAAAAGAGGACCAAAGTCTTATTTTTACTTTTCCTAATTAATTTTATGCAATTAGTAATCTATTCAAATTAATTACTGCAATCAGATATTTATTGTGCTTTAGGCACTGTTCTAGGTGTTGGAATACAACAGTGAGCAAAACAGATAAAAGGAACCCTGCCTTCATGGAGATTATATTCTGGTATTCAAAGCAAATCCTCCAAGAGGATACCCATACTGCCAAACTAAGGTGAAGAGTTAGAGCAGACAAGCTTAGCCAGGAAGCACAGTAGGAACAGGGTCAGGAGATTTTATTAAACAAACAACAATTTGCTTACACTTTAACAAGAATTCATTTCTTCCTCTCTTTCCATTACCAGATAAACCCAAGAGGTTGGGTGGGACAAGCATTATTATCATGCTCCTTTTCCGATTTTGGAGAAGAATGTTAGAAAATTTAAGTAATTTTCCCAACTTTATTACATCTCTTTTGATAGCAGTAGACACTGTCACTACAGGGAATCCCGTTGTGCACATGTCCACCTTCTGGTCACTGATGGGATGTCCTATTGCACTACTCTGGAAGTCACGTTCATTGACCTGATGTCTATAGACTTCCCCTGATGGTGTGAACCTGCAGTTTCTGCTTGTTCTATGCATATCGTTGGGAAAACATTTCCATGATTCCAAATCCCAATCCCGTCCCAAATCACACACGTACCCAACTGCTGACAAATGAAATCAATTATGTCGACAACAAGAAATACATCCTCTGCACCTTTGAGAAGTTACTTTGGGAGTAAACAAAGAGAGGCAAAACTCATTCCTGGGTCCTCACATGTCTGTCTCCTGCCTTTCCCATGAGTCATATCTGTGCTCAAGAAACACAAGGGGAACCAATTCAGGGGGGAAATGGAGCTTTCTTTGCTACTTACAACCATGAACTGTAGATACGAGGATGTTAGCAAATGCCTTTGCTTGATGGCAATGTTTCTGATACTGATAGAAGGGAAGTTCTCTGCATTTGTTTGTAAACTGTCAGAAATGTGCTCAGTTTTAGACAGGTAGTACACTTCTATTGCCAAGAGACTAAAACTTAATAATGCACAGGATGTCAAATTAGAGGTATTTTCTTATCCTGAAGAGTGAGCCTTAGTCTCCTTGGGACCAAAGTGTTTTCTATGGTGCATAAATAAAGCAGTCAACAGTAAAAGAAAAACAGACAAACTAAGAATCACAATGAGTGGCAAGAAAACTCCTCTTCTGACAGATGCTGGGCCACTGTCAACACTACTTCCATAGCCTCTGTGCAGGCAGTAGGGTGGGGACCACCCATAGGTGCAATGGCAGTGATGTTTATTATTGCAGATCCCTTTCATGTTGCAGGTCTCAGGCAGGCAGACTTGTGACAGGAGAGACAGACTGACACACTTCTTGCGTATGCAGATCTTTCCTGGACCACACATGGTGCCATCTTTCACTTCACCAACATCTGGCATGTCCATCCCTGAATGGTAGCCAATACTCCAGCAGGTGACACCATTGATGTGACTGTGCCGCAAAGCAGAGTGATCTCTCAGGTGGGGAATATCTCCCACATTCTCACATTGAACTCTCCCACAAAAGATATCTGAGGTATTACATTTTAGGTATGTCGTGCCATTTACACCACAGTGGCCAAAATGGCTTCCCTGCGAGTTGATTTTCTTTATAGCAATTCTGAGATGCACTCTGTGCACCTTCACCAAAAATCTCCCTGCACTGCTCATCATGGTTGTTACATCTCTTTTGATAACAGTAAGCACTGTCACTACAAGGAATCCCATCCTGCACATATCCATCTTCTGGGCACTGATGGGATGTCCCATTACACCACTCTGGAAGGTCGCATTCGTTGACCTGATGTCTACAGAGTTCCCCTGATGGCATGCACTTGCAGTCTTGGCAACAAAGCCCAAAAGCACAAGCAGCCCAGGCCTCAGAGCGCAGTTCAACAGGCAACAGGGATCTTGCTCACACTGCTTTATAGATCCACAGTCACATTCCTCTTCTCCTTCAACCACGCTGTTCCCACAGCGCTTCAGCATAAAGACTTCCCCTGGACTTGGAGGACTGTGCAGACATGATCCCTGGTTTAAAGTGGTCTTTGTAAAATCTGCATAACTACAATTGGTGAATCTCTCCGCAGGCGCTCTGACAGCATTCATGATGCAACCACCTTGTCCACACAGACTTCTTCATCGTGTTGCATACCCAAAGTATGACCTAACTCACGGACCACTGTGATGGCAAAAAGAGACCAGGGGTCTCCTTGGAAATTATTAACGCCACAATCAATAGGAGGATGACATATTCCTGCAACATAGTCTATACCAAGTACAATTATAAGTGAATTTTTTATGAAAATATGTGCAGCATCATCCTGTAGCTGGGAAAGACTGATTCGTTTCTACTGAGAGAAATTCTCCAGAACCTGTTCCATGCTTATTTTGATCTCTCTCTTCCTTTTTGTTTTTAGCTTGGGTAAAAGTTTATCCATTTTATTGATATTTTCAAAGAAACAGCATTTGGTTTCATTGATTATCTCTATTAATTTCCTGTTTTCAATTTCACTAGTTTCTACTCTAATTTTCATTATCCCTTCTCTTCTTCTTACTTTGGATTAAATTAGGTAGTTTATAATTTATTTTGGATATTTCTCCTTTTATAATATATGCAACTAGTGTTATACATTTTCCCAAACATTGCTTTTGCTGCATCCCACGAATTTTGATAAGTTGTATGATTTCCAGTCTTTGAAATTTGTTAGGGTAGGTTTTAGGCCCCAGGACATGTTCTGTTTGGTAAATGTTTCGTGTGAGTTTCAGAAGAATGTGTATTCTGTTGTTTTTAAAGTGTTCTATAAATGTCAATTACATCCAGTTGATTGATGGTGCTGTTGAGTTCAGCTATATCCTTCCTTACTGATTCTCTTCTTGCTGAATCTACCAGTTACTGATAGAGAGTTGTTGATGTCTCCAAATATAATAGTGCATTTGTCAATTTCTTCTTGCAGGGTTATCATTTTTCACATTAAGTATTTTGCCATCCTGTTGTTAGGCACATACACGTTAGGGATTGTTATGTCTTCCTGTTACGTCTTGACTTCATCATTATTCAATGCTCCTTTCTATCTCTGAACATTTTCCTTGCTCTGAAGTCCAGTTTGTCAGAAATTAATATAGCTACTCCAGCATACTTTTCATTCATGTTAGCATGATCCTTTTACTCATAATCTGTATCTTTATATTTAAAGCAGGTTTCTTGTAGACAATATATACTTGGGTCTTGTATTTTATACACTCTGACAATTTCTGTCTTTTTTTTTTTTTTTTGGTGAGGAAGATTGGCCATAAGCTAACATCTGTTGCCAATCATCCTCTTTTTGCTTGAAGGAGATTGGCCCTGAGCTAACATTGTGCCAATCTTCCTGTTATTTTGTATGTGGGTCACCTCCACAGCATGGCTTGATGAGTGGTGTAGGTCCATACCTGGGATCCAAACCCATGAACCCAGGCCACCAAAGCCGAGTGCACTGAACTTAACCACTAAGCCACTGGGCCGACCCCATGATAGTTTCTGTCTTTCAATTAGCATATTTGGACCATTCACATTTAAAGTGATTATTGATATAATTGATTAATATCTACCATATTTATAATTTTTTTCTGTTAATTGCTCTGGTTCTTTGTTTCTTTATTTGCCTTCCACTCTTCTGTTGTTGTGTGGTTTTGTGTTTTTTTGCCTTCTGTGGTTTTCATTCTGAAAATATTTCTCATTCAAATGAAGCCTAGAAATCTTAGTTCCCTTAAAACCCTTTGCTATCCCCTTATAGCATAATTGTCTTAAATATTCCCTCTATATACACTGAGAACTACATTAGACAATATAATTTTTCTTCGGCTATCAAACATAATTTAGAAAATTCAAGAGAAAAAGGAAATTCCATTGTATTTCCCCATATTTTGACTCTTTCATTGTCCTTTTTCCTTCCTGATGTTGCAAGATTTCTTGTTTTATAATTTCTTTTCTGTTTCAAGAATTTTCTTTAACCACTGTTTTCAGCAGGTCTGCTGGTGACAAATTATTAGTGTTCCTTCATCTGAGAATGTCTCGATTTCCTCTTCATTGTTGATGTATATTTTCACTGGAGAGAAAATTCTGGATTGACAGTTTTTAAACTCCTGTGAAATATTTTGCTACTTCCTTCTGGGCTCTGTGGGTCCTAATGAGAAATCTGCTGTCTTTCAAACAGTTTTCCCCTATGGGTAAGATTGGGCAAGATGTTGTTGCTTTCCAAGCACTTTCAAGATTTTTCCTTTGTCTTCTGCTTTCAAAATTGTGATTATGATGTGTCTTGACATGGATTTCTTTGGGTATATCCTGTTTTTGATTCCCTCAGCTTCTTGAATCTGTAGGCTATGACTTTTGCCAAATTTGAGAAATCTTCAGCCATTATTTTTTTGAGTACTTTTTGGCTCTGCCTATTCTCCTCTCCTGTGACTGTGATAACATGAATGTTAGATCTCCTGTGATAGTCCTACAAGACCCAGAGGCTCTTCATATTTTCTCCAGTCTATTTTCTCTGTGCTTCTCAGATTTTACAATAACTTCTTCTCTACATTCGAGTGCACTGATTATTGCCTCTATTTTGTTGTTGAGCCCATCCAGTGACTTTCTGGCTTTGGCTTTTGTACTTTTTAGTTATAAAATTTCCATCATTTTGTTTTTTATATCTTGCATTTCTTTGGCGAGACTTTCCTTTTCTGCAAGTTTTTTATTTTTTCCAGTTGTTACAATCATATTTGTCATTGCTCATGGGAGCATTTTCATGATGGCTCCTTCAAAATCCTTATCAGATAATTCCAATATCTGCATCATCAAGGAGTTGGCGTCTGTTATCTTTTCTCATTCAAGCTGAAACTTTCCTAGTTCTTTGTATGACAAGTGCGCATGACAAGGGAGGATTCTGAACATTTTGGGTGTCATATTTTGAGGATCTAGATCTTATTCAACTGTCAGGCCCCCTCTGGCTTTGCACTAGCAGAAGAAGAAAAGCATCACTATTGCTAGATGGTAGTAGATGTCCGGATTCTCCACTCAGTTTCTGTTGACATGCCAAGGGAATCCTGATACTGTTAAGGAGTAGAAGTTAATTTCCCCCTCCTTGGCCTCTGCTGATACCACCCCGGCTGGGAGGTTGAAGGATGCCTGATTACTGCTGCCCAACCGACCTCCACTAACATTGTGGAATGGGGGCCTCATTACTACATGGTGAGAATGCAAGTCCCAGAACTCTATTTTGAGCTTCTCTTTCATCACTCCAATGAGGAGGATGAAGTACCTCATTAGAACTGGATGATATTGGAAGTCTAAGCCCCACCATGTTGCCTTTGCTGATGAGGATGCATGCAGAGGTGCAATTTTCCCATGACATTTGGCTGGAGTAGGATGGTTATTTTCTGAAAGTTTTCTGTCTTGGCAAACTGCTCATTTCTTGGCCCATTGGCTAGAAAGAGAAAACTTGTCTTGGGGCTCTTTTTCTTTTTGGCTGCATCTGTTTCATTTCAGGGTTGCAGGCTTCTCCAGACTGCAATGAGGGTAAAGAAAATGCAGAGAAATCACCACCATGTTGTTCCTTAGGTCCCAGTGTCCCTAGCTGGTCTATATTCTTTGCTCCACCTTTCCAAACCTTATGTTTGTTTTATGTATCAAGTATAGTGTTGTAACCTATACTGAGTAGGAGCAATGGGAATAAGAGTGTTTACTGTATCTTTTCAGGACCCAGAAGACCTCAATGCTATTTTTTTAAAGTTTTTTTAAATTCTTTTCCTTTTTCTCCCCAAAGCCCCCCAGTACATAGTTGTATATTCTTTGTTGTGGGTGCTTCTAGTTGTGGCATGTGGGACGCCGCCCCAGCATGGCTTGATGAGCAGTGCCATGTCCGCGCCCAGGACCCGAACCAACGAAACACTGGGCCACCTGCAGCGGAGCACGTGAACTTAACCACTCGGCCACGGGGCCAGCCCCGACAATGCTATTTTTAAAAGAAATAACTATCATTCCTTCTTAAAGCAAGAGAGATTAAGCCAAAACTAATTTTGGAAGCTTTCAATCCTTTCCCATCTCTAGATCTCCCAGGATACTGTTCTGTCTCTCTGAAGCAGTCACTCTTAGTCTTCCTCAGTTATCTATCTCCCTGGGTTGAGTTTCTTTGCTCTGCTTACTGGTGCTACTAGCTAGCTACTAAAACTTTTCCAGGATTGATCTTCCGTAGTTTCCTACTCTCTCATTTCTTGGGGTATGGTTTCTTCACTGTTAATTATCTCTGGTATGGGAGCAGATTTTATTCACTGCGTTCAGCTAGAGACAAACCTCTTTTTTTACCTACCCCTCCTAAGACAGAGGTGTCTCTGGTTCTGCCTGGACGAATGAAACAGTTTATGAAAAGGAAGCTCCCAAGCAGATTTCTGAGGAAACCAGAATGAATAGAAGAACCTTTTCTTGAGAGGAAATAGAAAGAGACTGTCATTAAAAAGGCTTCTATTTGATAGTTATCTCACAGGGTTCTGAATCTTCCAGTTAAATTAGGAGGTGGCAAGGCTTGCTGGCCAAGAATCTCTTTAAAACAGAACCTTCCCAGAGTTAGAGTTAATATTTTATTGAATTATTTTTATTCCATGCAATATTTATATAGTTGAAATCGTCTTTTGGATTATATATTTTGTCAAATACCATACCATAAATTCTTGACCAAATCATTTTGAGCATATTTTTCTCCAAAACACTATAGTTTAGTATGGAATTCAATTTTAAAAACTTGTATATAAAAAATAGCAAGGTTATAAATTGTATAATACAAAAATTTATTGAACACTGTAATTATAAATGGAATTACAGAATATCAATGTTGTCTAGATTATTTAGAAAATATTTGATCCTGGATGTGGATTTGGTCTTGACCTAGAAAGTTACTATAATTGAGTCCGATAGTGAAAAGTGATTAGACAGTCTAGGCCAATGCAACAGCATAAGCAAAATTATGAAGCAGAAATAAATCTATATTGTAGGAGGCCATAGGATGGAGTTAAGGAGGCTATCCAATTCCAATTATATCGAAGTCAGACATAAAGTTGTATAGAAATGGTGGAGCCAGAGCAAGATATCCTTGAGAACTAGTTGTTTCTGGAGAAGTGAAAGATCCTTGTTGCTAAGCAGCTAAATCTAGAACTTAGTCTCCTGAGAGACAAAGGGGGAGGGTTTATGTTTCCCTCTGTTATGTGAAGTCTCAGCTATCAGTCTTAGTCCATTGATAGGTGTGGTACAAATCATCTAGAAAGAAAAGGCCATGGAAATGATTGTTTCTTCTGTTGGTAAGTCATTCATCAAGTTTGGCTCTATGCATAAGTTGGTAGCCAGAGTAGTACATTGGATAATGTTAAGTTTCTTAATTTATGTTTTGTTTTCCTTTTTAAAGATGGGAGAGACTTGCACATGGGTGGGGGGTGGTGGTAAAGGTATTGCAGGTAGGGTGACCAATCATTCCAGTTTGCCTAGGACTAAGGGGGTTGCTTGGATGTGGGACTTTCGGTTTTAAAACCAGGACCGTCCTGGGCAAACTAGGATGAGTTGTCACCCTAATTGCCAGTAAAGAACAGGTGAAATAGGAAAAAATAGAGTCTAGAGCAGAGAAAATTGATAGAGCCAGTCCTCAACTAGGTATGAGATATGATCTGGAACAGAAGATGAGGGCTACTGCCTGAATCTGCAGGAGGATCACTTTTCCACTGAGTCTGGGATGTGGAGTGGGGTAGAGGAGAGGTAGAAATGGGCATGGATTCAGATTAGGTTTGTAAAGGTAAAAATCCTAGGAACCATTTTGCCTTTGAATTTGGCATCACTATAGATATACTTTTCTACTGTGTCCCAGAGTAAGGAATCCATTTTATTTTGTGACCTAGTGACCACACATATACAAACACCCACAAAATTTTGGCACCATATGTGTAAGAGTTGCTAAGGAACTTCCAGGAATGTCCTTGAATATCCATATTCAATTTCCTTTAAGAAAAAACTGAGGTAATGACCCATTAAATTGATTTCATAACACTCTATTGAGTCATACATTAGTCACAGAGAGGTGAGAAAATGGTATATTCGGCATGATAGAGTAAGAGAGGAGACAGAGACGGGTAGGTAGAGGTCTTGAGGAATTTGGAACAGCAGTGGGGAAAGGAAGAAAGAGTTGCTAAAACATATGGAGGAGGGCTGTTGTCTACTTTGAGATTCCAATAATGTTAGAGAATATGGATTTTGTATAGCACTACTTCATAGTATTGATGGTAGGGTGATGTCCCTTTAGGAGTTTGGGTCTCTGGGGTCCTAGAAATAATATAATGAAGACTAGAGCATGGCTCTAAGACTCTTTGAAGCATTTTCCTATTATTGTCTGCTTTCAAGATGAGTTCTAAGAAAAAGACAAATATGATACGGTTTCTATAGCTTATCAGCCTTCTCCACAACACTGTGTCTTTATTAGTCCTCCCCACTTTCCATCTTCCCATCCACAGCTTCTGCTCCATAATAAGTAACAAACATATCAAGAGAGATACAGAGAGCAAATCTGGAAGTTCGGATTTCACCCAATTCAGAGATCTATGTCTTTGGAAGTGTTTTATAGTTGAATTTGTCTATGAACTTTGCTTTTCTCTTGTGGGCTGCTTGCACCTTGGAATAAAGCGCCTATCCATTAGCAATGGAATGTGTTCAGATGGATCCAAGCTCTCTAAGCAGGTTAACGCTAAGGATATTGTTCAGACTGAAACAAGTCCTCCCCATCCACCAGCATCCACATAGAATATCTGAGATAAATAATAAACTTAAATACCATATATAAGAAAGGAAAAGATGAAGTCTATTTGGTTAACTATTTAACTTTGTGATTGAAAAGGAGTCAAAATATATTTTCAGCTACTGACGCTATATTTATGAGGGAACTCAGAATATTAGGGATGTGTAAATGTAATGTCCAGGAGAATAAAGAAAAGAGCAGTAAGTCATAGGAGGGTTTGAAATATCAGCTGACATCTTGCCTCCATCCCTTAGGGTGGGCAGCCAGAACAAACCACTCCAGTTCCAATTGTGCATTCTCTTTGTAAAATTTTCACAAACACAGTGTTTTGAGATTTCCCCTGTCCCCAGTTGTGCATGGTAGTTTTGATGTAGAAGTGCAAAAAGTATGTGACAGAATTAATCCAAGTTTTTGTTTGTTTTGCAAATTTGTGTTATGGTAATGCTTTAGGAAGTTAAAGGTTTTGGCATAAAGTGGTTGAAGTGATGGAACTGGTAGGCTAGGCTCAAATGGAATGGAATAGAAGGCAGGAGCATGAGATTGAGAGAAACAGGAGATAATAAAAGACAAAAGCATTTGGGTTCTCTTTGAGTTTGAGGAATAGGTATAGCAGGAGTAAGGGAGAGCTGGGAGGATTAAAATTATGGGTAAATTGCTTAGAATGTAAGAAATGGTTTTGTTTTGTTTGGTGAAGACAAGGCATGGATTATGGCTGTGGGTGGCTAAACTGAAGGATATTGAATATGAATTGAAGAGGTTAAAAAAAACTTTGAAAAACCCTCCTGGTTTTCAGATGGTTGTCTATATACGTGCTATCATTAGTTATGATGAAGGTAGGATTTTGGGTGGAGAATAATTCTATCAGTCAGATATCAAAGTCTTTGCAGTTTTTGTAAGAATGGTAGGGAGTGGTTGGTGGAAGAGTGAGAAAGCTTGAAAATTAGTGTAGTCAAATGTAGCACGAGGAATGGTTTGGAATTGACTTTGTGGGCTGGGGAGAACAGAAACCCAACCTCTGGACCATGTGGTACATAGGGCTTCTATGAATTGGGTTTCTCTAGAGTGAGCTTTAGGGCAAGCAGTAAATTCTGTTGGAACTCAAGTTTAATGAGGTAAGTAGACACAGGGAGCTCTATGAAGAGGTTGAGGATCGAGTTTGGTTTTTTTCTCTCTCTCTGTCATCAGAGGAAGACTGCAGAAATCATCGGGGAAGCTTCATGGAGGGATGATATAGAGGAATTTAATTCAGGGTAAAGAAACTATTGAATAGGAATGGATTTAGAGTCTAGGAGATGACTCGTACTGCATCAGGCATCTTTGGCTTCATCTCTCCCATGCAAGGCTACTCAGATTAGCTTGGCTTAGTTGCTCTTCCTATGTTTTCTCCTAAGAAACTGTGCTTCTCTTTATCAGTAAGTTTATCACAGTCAGGGATGGAATCAGATTTTTGCACCTGATGCATCTACAAGAAGAGAGGTCACCTTAAGAAAAAGAATACAAAATTATAAATGCAAAAATAAGGGTGAAAATAAATATTTATTTAGCATAAGGAAGAAATCACAACTGGTAAATTTCAAAAGTATGAAAACACCATAAACATCACAAAAAATTTTAAACCTACGATTTATGTTCATTAACTTTTTGACACACTTCTGTAACATGTTTTCCCTGCAGTTTTATAATCACTTCCCCTTTCATTACCCACCTTATGAGAACTGTTTTGTTATATTGTCTCTGGAGAGAACAGAAAAGTAATTGACTGTCCCTAGCATGTTTGATCAAAACTTATTCTCTATTATTGATAGTTTAGAGAAAAATTCTGCTTCACAACTTGTTATTGGTAATAAGATAAATAATTACATAAATTACTGTTGAATTTCAGAAAACCTTTATCAAGTCTTCTACATATGAGTTGTAATATTTCAAGGCATTTCCTATTTTCTTGCATAGTGACTAATTTTGAATACTCTTATATTGATAACAGTCATAAACTGCATTGCTAAGCCCCTCCCAGGGGCTCATGGAGGTCTGTACAATGAGGGTCGCTGAATCATAGACTTTATTAGCCTCAGATCGGGTTCAGATCAGATTATAATAGTCTCACTGCTTGTCTGTTTTCCCCAGGCTCAGTGCTTCTTAGCCTCATTTTTGTCACTCAGTTGAGACTATGATGAAGTCTATGGATGACACACTCCTCGGCAAAAGAAAAGGGCACATAATATATGACATATTGAATACAATGTTCTAGGCCCCTTAAAGCTTATTCTTGCTCCTGCCACAAATTTCTGCACTAAATTGATAAGTTATATAATGATCTGTATTTTTATTTTATTTCCCTAGTATCTAACACAATGTCCTGTACTTTGTATGCTCCAAACACATAAATACTTGTTTAATGAATATGGAAAGAAATGGATGTGTGTTGACAGCCAGATTGTATGCCAGGTACAGAAATTCTCCACTTTCAAAAACTATTGGTAAATATATTTGAGCAAACATTAGGAATTTTACCTGGCAATTCTAAAATACCAGGCACTCTGAGGCCTTTGCCCCAAGAAGACAGAGGTCCTTTTCCCAAGCCTTTAAACTTCATGGATTCTCATTTTCTCTTCTTAGGGCATTTCTTTTTGTCTTCAGTATCCTCCTACAGGTAACTGGTGAGAACAATATTATTCTTCCTGTTCCTTTAGAAGATGTCAGCTTTTTAAGATTTTTTTCCTCTTTTAAAAATTATAGTCAAATATGAATACAGTTTAAGTAGCATTCTTCTATAACCTAAGTGCTTCACCGCCCTCTCCCGCTTTTTTCCATTCTTCATTGTATAGAGAACTATACTCGGCGTTATAGAGAATACTAACATGAGTTAAAATCATAAACCCTGCACTCAGCGACCTTGCAGACCAAGCATTATGGGTGAAGGAGAATACAGCAAGGAAACAAGTCAATAACTTGAGATAAAGACTAAAGTAAATTATGAGACCCACGCAAATTGATGTCAGATTGTTGTGATTGTTTTTGACTTCTCCAGTATTGATAGTCAAAGGGGAAAAAGTATCGATAGTTATGCAAGGGTAACAGGCATAAACTCCCCAACATGGTCTTGGACAAATTGAGATATAGAGTCACCGTACTCTGAAGTTTTGTTAGCTTTGATTTACCTTTTTACTATGGAGATTTTCATACCACCTATATGAATTGATATATAATGAAAACCCAAGTACGTATCATCCAGCTTTAACAATTATCAACATATGGTCAACACTGTCATATCTATACTCCCTAACTTCCCACTATTCACTGAAAGCAAATCCAGAGCATTTCCTTGATTCGTTAATCACTTTTTCACCACTCGATTCTTTCTGTCTCTCACTTTCCTTAACCAATCCTGCCACCATCCCCATCCTTCTTTTTATTTTCACTTTCAGCACTTCAGCTCTGATGGTTCACCTCTGCCAGGACACAGATCCTTAAAGCTCAGCTCTACACAATGGCCAGCTCAGATGGAGGAGCCAGACCACAGTGCCTCCCGCTCTTTTCCTCTGGACAGATGGCTCCATAATGGCAGCTCCATAATGGTGGCTAGTGAGGCTGAGGTGTCCATGAGAGTTGTTCTCCTACTGCTCTGGCATGGCTTGTCTCTGTTCCCTACTGACCTCTCCCAGGCTGGGTCCTCCCAACACCTCAGCATCTTAGAAGTGGTGATCCCCTTGAAGGTGACCAACAGGGGCAGAGGCGCAAAGACTCCAGTCTGCCTCTCCTACAGCCTGCAGTTTGGGGGCTGGAGACACATTGTCCACATGAAGGCCAAGGAGCTCTTGGTTTCCAGACATCTCCCGGTGTTCACCTACATGGACCAGCACGCTCTCCAGCAAGATCAGCCTTTTGTTCCTGATGACTGCTACTATCATGGTTATGTGGAAGGGGTCCCTGAGTCCCTGGTTGCCCTCAGTACCTGTTGTGGGGGCTTTCGAGGAACGTTACACATAAATGACCTTACTTATGAAATCGAGCCCATCAGGCACTCTACCACATTTGAACACGTGGTTTATACGGTAAACACTAATGAGACACAATTCCCATCTATGAGATGTGGCTTAACAAAAAAGCAAATAGCACACCAACAGTTGGAATTTGAAAAGGCTGAGAAATCAACTCTGAAACAAAATTCTACTGATAACTGGTGGACCCACTCATGGTTTCTGGAGCTGGCTGTGGTGATAGATCACAATTTCTTCATTTACTCCCAAAGTAACTTCTCAAAAGTGCAGGAGGATGTATTTCTTGTCGTCAACATAGTGGATTCCATTTATCAGCAGTTGGGTACTTATGTGATTTTGATTGGGACTGAGATTTGGAATCATGGAAATGTTTTCCCAATGGTAAACATAGAACAGTCAACTCCCTGGGAAGCTGTTTGGTACAAATGGCCCTTATCTCCTGGAGGGGAAGAGAAATCACAGCCGAGGAAAAATCACAGGTATAGATAAGGGTCCAAGAGCTCTAAAGCCTTTTACATGCTCATCCAGAGCAAGTCTGTTATGCTGTCAGGGCTCAGGGGGGAACCCCAGGATGATTCTACATGACATGGTGATGTGAGGGTGGATGCCCCTGAAAATATTGGCTCTTCAGATCCAGATGAATCCTGAAAGAACTGTCCCTAGTTCTCTTCCTGGCTGCCTACCTTATGTCTGGGCTGCTGTGCCATACCCAGCAGGATCTGGCTGAACATGTACAAACCCTGATAAGGGAGGAATAAGATTACACACTAAAGTAGTTGCAAGTAGCTTCACCTAAAGTGAAGACTGACAATAATGAAGATAAGAATGGCCATAAGTAAAATAGGAAATAGAGAGCCAGTCCTGATGGCCTAGTGGTTAAAGTTCGGCACGCTCTGCTTTGGCGGCCCAGGTTCAGTTCCCAGGTGCAGAACCACACCACTCGTCTGTCAGTAGCCATGCTGTGGTGGTGGCTCACATAGAAGAACCAGAAGAACTTACAACTATACACAACTATGTACTAGGGCTCTAGGGGGAGAAAAGGAAGAAAAAAGGAGGAAGATTGGCAACAGATGTTAGCTTAGGGTGAATCTTCCCCTGCAAAAAATGAAATAAAATAAAACATAAAATAGAAAACAAATGAGCAAAATCAATGAAACTGAAAGCTGGTTCTTTGAAAAAGATATGTAATATTGGTAAATGCCTAGCTTGACAAATCAAGAAAAAATAAGACATAACAAATTACCGTTACCTACAATGGAAGAGGATATGTTACTACAGATCCTTATGTTATTAAGACAAAAATAAAATATTATGAACAAACTGATGTTGATATTTTGATTATTTTCATGAAATGGACAAATTTCTTGAAAGACAGAAACAGTCATAGATCACTAAAGAAAGTGATAATCTAAATATATGTGTATGTATGTAAATATATTTTATTATGTTACATAAATATAAGTATATATAATATGTATTTCTAAGTATATATATGATATATGTGAAATTTAATTTATTGTTAGAAACATCTCTTGGTCTGGATTCCTTCATAGATTATTCTACCAAAAATTTAAGTAATAAATAATAATGCCAATTCTATACAAAGTCTTCCAGGAAATAAAACTGAAGGAGAAGTTTCCCAACACATTTTATGAAGCCAAACGTTGCCTCATCACCAAATGCAGACAAAATGTTATAAGACAAGAAAACTCCAGACCTCCATCCTTCAAGAAGTCAGGAAGAAACAGCCTTAGCAGTGCAGTAGCAAATGAAGTGTAATGATATATAGAAAGCATAATACTTCATTACCAACCTGGGTTTATTCTAGGAAGGAAAGGTTTTATAACACTCAAAATGCAACCATTGTACTTCACCAGTTTGAAAAACAAAAAATGAAAACCGCTTGATCATCTAAATAGATGCAGAAAATATATTTGCTAAAACTCAACACCACTGATGAGGAAAAAAAAGACACAGTTTGGCAATGTGGGAATGGAAGAGAATTTCCTCAACTTCCTAAAGATCATCTAGGAAATACCTTCAGCAATCAAAATACTTAATGCTGAACACTGAATGTCCACCAACTTGCAATGGAGAAGAAGTAAAAATGTCCATCTCACCACCCCAATATAACATTGTACTGGAGCTTACTAAGGTAAGATAAGGAAATAAATAGCAAACTTGGTGGTTTTTTCAAAGTTAATCTGGCTGAGAGTTTGCCAATTCTGTCAATTTTTTAAAAACCCAACTCTGTTTTTTCTAGTCTTTTGCAGTATAAAGTTAGGTTATTGGTCTGTGATATTTCTTCTTTTTAATGTAAAGGTTTACAGCTGTAAACCTCCCCCTTTGCAATGCTTTTGCTACATTTCATGTTCTGGTATGTTGTGTTTTTGTTTTTATTTGTCTCAAGATATTTTCTAACTCCCTTTATGATGTCTTCTTTGACCCCTTGGTTTTTAAAACTGTATTGTTCAATTTTCACATATTTGTGCATTTTCCTGTTTCCTTCTGCTATTATTTCTAGTTTCATTCCATGGTGATCAGAACAGATACTTTGACTTCAATATTTTAAAATTTATTAAGACTTATTTTGTGGCCCAACATGGGGTGTATCCTGGAGAATGTTCCATTTGCACTTGAGAAGGATGTGTGTTCTACTGTTGTTGGATAGAATGATTTGCACATGTCCTATGAATCCTTTAAAAAATTAAAAGTGGAGTTACAAACCAAAATTACAATAATACAACTTTTTCTATTTGTCTGTGTATTTAGCTTTACCAGAGAACTTTCTACTTTTGTATGGCTTTCAGTCACTGTCTGTAGGGGCAAAGGCAAGCTAAATGCCACCAACTTTCTCACTCTTTTTGATGCAGTCCTTTCTTGGCCATGCATTTGGCTGTGTATTGTAGCTTCTTAATTGGTTTCTAGAGTTCTTGTAAAGGTATTTTGGTCCATATGGGTTGTTAACTCAGTATCTCTATAGGGGAACAAGGGCCTTGAGCATCCTAGTCTGCCATCTTGCTGACGTCTCTTAAAACTTTCTTCTTGGGTAATTATGCTGGCAAAAAATTTGTTCAACTTTCATTTGCTTGAGAAAAATCTTTATTTCTCCTTCAATTTTAAAATAAACTTTATATTTTGAAATAACTGTAGATTCGCATACAGTTGTAAGAAATAATAGAGATCCCATGTACTCCTTATGCTGCTTCCCCAAATAAAAACATCTCGCAGGGGCCGGCTCCATGGCCGAGTGGTTAACTTCGTGGGCTCCGCTGCATCGGACCAGGGTTCAGATCCTGGGCGTGGACATGGCACCGCTCATCAGGCCACATTGAGGCGGCATCCCACATCCCACAACTAGAAGGACCTGCAACTAAGATATACAACTGTGTACAGGGGGGGTTTGGGGAGATAAAGCAGAAAAAAAAAAAACCCACCTCGCAACCCTTAGTATAATATAACCTCGATATGGATATTGAGACCGTCAACACAGAGAATATTCCCACCGCCACAGGATCTCTCACATTCCCCTTTTACAGCCAAGCCCACTCTTCCTCCCCTCCCACACCCACACCCACTCCTTAACCCCAGCCACCGCTAATCTGTTCTCCACTTCGATAATTTTGTAATATAAGGATGGAATCGTACAATATGGAAATTTTCAGGATTGGCCTTTTTCACTTAGCATAGTCTTTTGGAGATTCATCCAGGTTATTGAGTGCATTGTGAGTTCAATCTTTCTTATATCTGAATAGCATTTCGTGGTAGGAATGTACCACAGTGTGTTTAACCACTCACCCAGTGAAGGACACCGGGGTTGTTTCCAATTTGGGGATATTATAAATAAAGCTGCTGTACACATTCGTGCACATGATTTTATGTGAACACAAATCATTCTTCCAGGATAAATGGCCAGGCATAAAATTTATCAATTGTATATTAGTTACCTTTATAGTTTTCTTTTTTGAAAACTGCCAAAATATTTTCAAGAGTGATTGTACAATTTTACATTCCCACCATTAACGTATGAGTTACCCCATTTCTTCAAATTCTCATCACCATTTGGAGATGTCACAACTTCTCACTTTTAGCCAGACACTGGAGGAAGCTAGAAGAATTGAAAATTCACAGGGGTGTACTATAATTTTCTGTTTAAACATAAAATTTCTCTCCACAGTCATCCTGCTTTTGATCAAAGATAACCAAAGTAAGGTTATTCTTGTCTACAAAATAAGTCATCTCATTATATTTGGCCTGATTATTTATATAAGTGCAGCAAGAATGCTAATTGACCACAAAGGCCTTTTTGAGTTTGCTTTGCTGAGACTTTTTATAAAGAAACTCAGATTAGACTTTTAAAAGCCTCTCAAGGCTAAGAAGTCAAGTGAGAAACTCAGCACTAGACTTCACTTGTGGTAACTACAAATTTGGATGAATTCCTCTCTTCTCAATGTCCCCAAAAGGTCCCAAAGTTTCTGGGCATGCCAGGAAATAACCTTCCTCACTCACCTAGGAGACTGGAAACACTGGAAGCCAGGCGTCAGGTTGGTTTTTCCAAGAGGACGTTGTAAGCAGTGGGTCCATAAAGTCAAATTTTGTTCCTTAAAGCTGCCTGGCCGTATCTGATTCTATACATCATTCTCAAATATGGCATTCCACATAAAGCCTTGGTGATATAACCAATGTTTTCAATTGTGTTGTGTTTCATGGAGAACAGATCCTTATTGAACTAATGCTAAATAACCATATTGCCAAAAAAGTAAAAACACTCAATAAGAGTTTCTGAAATCTGGAGTGATTACATAGGGAGAAAAAAAATGTTTGTTTTTACGAAGGTATATTCTATTAAATTGTTGTAAGCTACAGATGGTATGAGAGAAAAGAGAAAGTTGATTCTTATAAGCAGAAATGAGAACATTAAAGATTCAGAAAGTTTGAAACAAAAGCTGTATAATTATATTTATTCTTCATTGGTTCACTCAGTGCCATATAATCGTTCTTGTTTTGCTTGATCTTTGGTTAGCAGCTTCATGAACGCATCAACTTCTTCACTAAAGTTCTGGAAATCCTTGCTTTGCCCAGTAGCCTAAAATTTATTTAAGGAAGGTTTTGATGATGCATTCTGGCCTGTGGTAGATTGCAAACATTTTCAGAGAAGAATCAGAGCAAACTAAAAATGCTCTATGGATGACAAAGGACTTCCAATGGCCATGGTTAAAGATCTGATGAGAGTTCATTTCACAAGGAAATATGGTTATTTCCCTAACATACAAAATTTTAAGATAACTGGAATTATGACTCATATCATTATATCAGAACATATGCACAGTGAGGTCATTGACACATATCTATGAACGTCATACAATTTCTGAGATATTTATATTAATAATATTTACCCATACAACTATAACCTGGAGAAGAATAAGCATCTCTTATTTGACAATGCTTTGCACACAATTCAACACATCAAATTGTTTTT